TCATGAGAATTGCTCAAACCCAGGAGGCATAAATTGCAGTGAGATCACATAACAGCACTCCAGCCTGGATGATAGACCATGACTGTGTCTCAAAAAAAAAAAAAAAAGTTGGCTGGGTGTGGTGGCTCATGCCTGTAATCCCAGCACTTTGGGAGGACAAGGCAGGTGGATCATGGGGTCAGGACAGAGACCATTCTGGCCTTCTGGCCAATATGGTGGTGAAACCCCATCTCTAAAAAAAAAAAAAAAAAAGTTAACTTTTGGAAAAAATGATGCCCATAAGGAAACGGTATAAACCATGGATAAACTTTTCTTTTTTTATTTCAGTAATTTTTGAAGTACAGGTGCTTTTGGGTTCCATGGATATGCTTTTCAGTGATGATTTCTGAGATTTTGGTGCACTTGTCACCTGAGCAGTGTACACTGTACCAAATGTGTACCCTTTTAGTCCTCTCTCCCCACCCCTTCCCTCCAAATCCCCAAAGTCCATTCGTATGCCTTTGTATCCTCATAGCTTAGCTCCCACTTATAAGTGAGGACCTATGGTATTTGTTTTCCATTCCTGAGTTACTTCACTTAGAATAATGACCTCCAGCTACATCCAACTTGCTGCAAAGGCCACTATTTTATTTCATTTTATGGTTGAGTAGTATTCCTTGGTGTATATATACCACATTTTCTTTCTTTCTTTTTTTTTTTTTTGAGATGGAATCTCACTCCGTTGCCCAGGCTGGAGTGCGATGGTGCGATCTTGACTCACTGCAACCTCTGCCTCCCGAGTTCAAGTGACTCTCTTGCCTCAGTCTCCTGAGCAGCTGGGATTACAGGCACACATCACCATGCCCAGCTGTTTTTTTTTTTTTTTGGTTTCTTTTGAGATGGGGTTTTGCTCATGTCACCCAGACTAGAGTGCAGTGGCACAATCTTGTCTCGCTGCAACCTCTGCCTCCCAGGTTGAAGTGATTCTCCGGCCTCAGCCTCCCAAGTAGTTGGGATTATAGGCACCCACCAACCATGCCCAGCTCATATTTGTATTTTTAGTAGAGACAGGGTCAGGCTGGTATCAAACTTTTGACCTCAGGTGATCTGCCCTCCTCAACCTCTAAAAGTGCTGGGATTACAGGCATAAGCCACCGTGCCTGCCAAGTGTCAGCTTCCTTATTGATTCTGATGACTGCATAATATTCCATTGCATACATGTACTGTAATTTATTCAACTAGTCCTCTGTTGACATTTAGATTATTTCCATTCTTTTGCCTTTATATAAACTATCTGCAGAATAAGCATGCATATGTATCAAATCATGCATATAAATTTCTAAATGTGAAATTTGAGTAAAAAAGATTATAATTTTGATGTGTTGTCAAAGTATCCTTTATCAAGATTCAACAGCAATTATACAAATTTAGCCGATATTTCTTTATCTCTTTTAAGCTGTATTCAATGGCTGTGAGAAAGGAAATATGAAACTGACCCAAAAAAAAGATTCTAAAGTGGCTTTCCCAAAATGATACATTTGATTTTGCAAAATATAAACTTCTTAGGGTTCAAACAGCTTACCCCATAGAAGACTTTGAAATTTTAGTTTAATTCTTGTACAATACTTGTAAAGATTGTGGTTTCTAATACTCCAAAGTCTTGCTCTTTGGCTTAATTTTTTTTATTTTAATCATGTAGATGTTTCCAGCTGCACTATATAGAGAGCAAAACTCAGAAAGGTGGCAAATAGTTCAGCTGTTTTACAGACCTGAGCACTGGCAGAGAAGAGGAAAGGGGCTCTCCGAGGGAGCACTCCTGCAGGCTCTTACTGTCCTTGAGGCATTTTCCTTGCCCAAATAAGAAGAAAAAATATTTTCCAGTCTTAAATTGAGTGCCAAAATTATTCTTGGAATTGCTCCCTTGATCTGTCAGTTTCAGTTTTTCCATGGAGGTGTGGTTGGGGCAGCCAGACCTTCACCGTCAGAATCAGGATTGGAACTGAATTGCTCCCACACACAGCTGATTTAGAAAAATTCCTTGCAAGGCAATTTTGATAAGTGATGAGAAACATCAGAGAGCTGATACATGTTGGATCTGAAGCTCTAACCACACATCTGACTTGAGTCTCTCTATGGTGCTAGTGGCTAACAGTGACACAAAGGAATTAATCATCCTTGGAGATTTCTTAGGAAAGAAAAGACAGAGGAGTTGAGTTTCACGGCTTCTTAGTGTGAGTCTCTGGCTCATTTCCCAAGTTCTTCATTTTCATTCTCTTGCTTAGTCTGGTCTAGTCAAGAGTGTTGGCTTTGGAGCCAGATGAACCTTAGCCACATCCATATTTGTCCCTTGCTGGCTGTGGGATCATGGATGAATTCGCATGCTAGAGATAGGGTCCCCACCAATAAGACTGGGAGCACACTATCCTCCTCTACCTTCCTGTCAGTGTTGAAGTGAGGATTAAAGAAAATCAACTAGGCCGTGGTGGCTCACACATGTAATCCAGACACTTGGGAGGCCAAGGCTGGCAGATCATCTGAGGTCAGGAGTTCAAGACCAGCATGACCAACATGGTGAAACCCTGTATCTATTAAAAATACAAAAATTAGCCAGGCATAGTGGCAGGTGCCTGTAATGCCAGCTACTTGGGAGGCTGAGGCAGGAGAATTGTTTGAACCCGGGAGGCGGAGGTTGCAGTGAGCCAAGATCATACCAGTACACTCCAGCCAGAATGACAGAGTGAGACTCTATCAAAAAAAAAAAGAAAGAAAGAAAGAAAAGAAAAGAAAGAAAAAAGAAAGGAAGGAAGGAAAGAAAGAAAAGAAAATCAACTATGGGCATGATGTCTTGCATGGTCCTGACAAATAAGGCTCAATAAATGTTCCTTTCATATTATCACCTTTCTACCCCACTGGCCAATGACCTAAAATTCATTCTTCTGGAGCTTATGGTCTTGACCAGTATTAAGTTAGAAAAGAAGCATTACGGTAAGGCAATCTAAGTCGGAACACCAGCTTCACTTGTACCTAAACTAGAATTTGGAATTTTTCTAAAAATCCATTCCTTTCCATGTGGTAAAATTTTCAAACCCTCTGCAGTGTATTTTGCAGTGTTGACATCCCCTGTCTCCTGAGTAGCTGTGACTATAGGCACGCACAACCATGCCCAGCTAATTTTTGTACTTTTAGTAGAGATGAGGTTTTGCTATGTTGGCCAAACTGGACTCGAATTACTGATCTCAGGCAATCCATCCACCTCAGCCTCCCACAAGTGCTGGGATTACAGGCATGAGCTGCAACATGTGGCCAGAAGCTACATTTTTAATATAGCAAAAAAGCTAGAAGGAAGATGTGTGGGTCCCTGAATCACTCCTGGAGAACTGCCCAACCAGGAACATCTGTATTAGACTACATTGTGAGTGAGAAACAAGCCTTTGTGTATTAAGCTACTGAGATGGGGTGGGGAGGTATTTGCTCTAGCAGCGAGTATTATCAATACAACCTCAAAGACAAATTGCCATCTCCCAGTCTTCAAATATCTTTACATCAGCCCCTTCTTTCCTCCCTCTCTCTCACTCTCTCCTCCCCACTTCCTCTTTCTCTGTCTTCTTTCTTTTTTCCTTCTTTCCTTCCATGCTTCTTTTTTTTTTTTTTTTTTTTTTTTTAGACAGAGTCTTGCTCCATTACTAGGTACCAGGCAGGAGTGCAGTGGCACAATCTCGGCTCACTGCAACCTCCGTCTCCCAGGTTCAAGCAATTCTCCTGCCTCAGCCTCCTGAGGAGCTGGGACAGGCATGCACCACCACGCCCAGCTAATTTTTGCATGTTTTAGTAGAGACGGGATTTCACCATGTTGGCCAGGATGGTCTCAATTTCTTGACCTCGTGATCCACCCACTTTGGCCTCCCAAAGTGCTGGGATTACAGGCTGAGCCACTGCACCCAGCTCATTCATTCTTTCATTCCTTCCCCAGTACTAATGGAATATCCAGCACATTTTTTCTAGGCATTGTTCTAGGCACTGGGGATCCTGAGGGAACAAAGCAGACAAATCTTTGCCCTCAGGAAGCTCACATTATAATGGGTGAGTCAGGGAATAGGCAAGTAAATAATAAGATTTCAAGCACTAATTATTGCAGCTGTCCCTCGGTATCCATGGAGGATTGGTTTCCTGGATTAGCAAATTGATAGATGCTCAAGACTCTTATATGAAATGGCATAGTACTTGTATATAACCTACACACATCTTCCTGCATACATTTACTCTTAGTAAAAGAAACTTAGGGCTTTTCTTTGAGACAGGATGTCACCCTGTCTCCCAGGCTGGAGTTCAATGGCATAAACACAGCTCACTGCAGCCGTAAAGCCCCAGGCTTAAACTCCTGCCACAGCCTCCTAAGTAGCTGGGACTAAAGGCATCTGTCACCATGTAGGGCTATTTTTATTTTTATTTTTTATAGAGACAAGTTCTCTTGATGTTCCCCAACCTGGTCTTAACTCCTGGCCTCAAGTGATCCTCCAACCTCAGCCTCCAAAGTGCTTGGATTACAAGCATAAACCAGTCTGCCCCCTCTTTTGTGCTTTAAATGATCTCTAGTGTACTTATAATACCTAATACAATGTAAATGCTATATAAGTAGTTTGTTGTGTTCTTTTTCTGAGACAGAGTCCTGCTCTGTTGCCCAGGCTGGAGTGCAGTGGTGCAATCTCAGCTCACAGCAACCTCCACCTCCCAGGTTCGAGCAATTCTTTGCCTCACCCTCTCGAGTAGCTGGGATTACAGGTGCCACTACCATGTCTAGCTAATTTTTGTATTTTTAGTAGAAATGGGGTCTCACCATCTTGATCAGGCTGGTCTAGAACTCCCGACCTCGTGATCCAACTGCCTTGGCCTCCCAAAATGCTGGGATTACAGGCTTGAGCCACCATGCCCAGCTATATAAGTAGTTTTTATATTCTCTTGTTAGACAGTATGACAAAGTGAAAAAAGGCCTGTACATAGTCTGTACAGCAGCAGTCACCTACTTTTTCTCATTGAATATTTTTGATCCATTGTTGGTTGAATTCACAGATGTTGCACTCACAGAGGTGAAACTCGCAGATACAGAGGGCTTACTGTACTTCACTGAAAAATAAAGAAGAATAAAAGGAGTTAGAGAGTGACTAAAAGCATCTTTTATATAAGGTGGTTGGGAAAGAGCTCTCTGTGCTGGTATTATCTGACCAGAGACCTGAATGATACAATGATTAGAAGAGTGAACTCTTAACAAGTTGTTAAGAGTTGTTCCTCTGAAACAAGTTATTTATAGAAGGAAAAAAGGTAACAACAGTACAAAAAAGTAAAGAAAACTAGGCCAGGTACAGTGGTACAAAGAAGAAAACTAGGCCAGGCACTGTGGCTCACACCTGTAATCCCAGCACTTTGAAAGGCTGAGGTGGGTGAATTGCTTGTGGCCAGGAGTTTGAGACCAGCCTAACATGGCAAAATCCCACATCTCTACTAAAAATACAAAAATTAGGCTGGGTGTGGTGGCTTACACCTGTAATCCCAGCACTTTGGGAGGCCCAGGTGGATCACCTGAGGTTGGGAGTTCGAGACCAGCCTGACCTGTCTCTACTAAAAATACAAAATTAGCTGGGCATGGTGTCTCATGAATGCCTATAATCCCAGCTACTAAGGAGGCTGAGGCAGGAGAATCGCTTCAACCCATGCGACAGAGATTGCAGTGAGCTGAGATTGCACCACTGCACTCTAGCCTGGATAACAGAGAGAGGCTTGGTCTCAAAAAAAATTAGCAGCGTGGTGGCACACACCTGGAGCTGCAGCTGCTCGGGAGGCTGAAGCACCATAAAAACTGCTTGAACCTAGGAAGGAGAGGTTGTAATGAACTGCGATTGTGCCACTGTACTCCAGTCTGGGCAACAAAATGAGACCCTGTCTCAAAAAAAAAAAAAAAAAATTATATATATATATATATATATATATATATATATACTGAAATGAATCAACTTAGACAAAGACAAGTCAAAAAGAAAGATGAAACCCAAACCCCAGGCTTATAGATTCCTGACCTGACTTTGCCCTTGTCTAAAACTGGTGGATAAAGCTCTTTCTTCTGTTTTTGACTTTGTATCCATATTTCCAGTCTTTCAAGTTGAAATTTGCCCATTTATTCAGACAACTCAATAAATATAGTAATACATCAGCCTCTATCATTAGACATTCATAAACTCTATTAAATAAACTGAACTTTGGGAACTCCAGCAGGTTATTTAAGATCTCCAGTCCTTCATTTCCTCATCTCTAAAACAGAGACAGCACTGGTAACTAAATTACTTCAGAGGTTTGTTCTGATGATCAGATGAGATTGTTCACCTAAAATGCTAGTACAGAGTAAGGGCTAAAGAAATGTTTTTTTTTGACCGAATTTCACTCTTGTTGCCCAGGCTGGAGCGCAATGGCATGATCTCAGCTCACCACCACAACCTTTGCCTCCTGGATTTAAGCAATTCTCCTGCCTCAGCCTATTGAGTAGCTGAAATTACAGGCACACACCACCATGCCCAGCTAATTTTCATATTTTTAGTAGTAATGACATTTCTCCATGCTGGTCAGGCTCTTCTCAAACTCCCGACATCAAGTGATCTGCCCACCTCAGCCTCCCAAAGTGCTGGGATTACGGGTATGAGCCACCACACCTGGCCACAGGAAAAAAAAAAAATAATATGTATTAAAATTAATTTTATAATTATAAAATTAATTATAATACATAAATATATTAGAATATATTCTATATATAATTAATATATTATATATTAATTCTAATATATATTCCTGGCCACAGGAAAAAAAATGTTTATATATATATTTGAGACAGAGTCTCACTCTGTCACCAGGTTGGAGTACAGAGGCCTGATCTCTGCTCACTGCAACCTCCGCCTCCCAGGTTCCAGCAATTCTCCTGCCTCAGCCTCCTGAATAGCTGGAACTATGCAGGCCACCACGCCCAGCTAATTTTTGTATTTTTGGTAGAGACAGGGTTTCACCATGTTGGGGTCTGGTCTTGAACTCCTGACCTTGTGATCTGCCTGCCTCAGCCTCTGAAAGTGCTAGGATTATAGGCGTGAGCCACTGCACCCAGTCTAGAAATACTTTTATAAAGGCTAAACTAACTGGACATTATTCAGAGCCCAAGTCTATCAAATACCTACCTGACTCCATGTTCTTTTTTTTTGAGATGGAGTTTCACGAAGTTTCACTTCTGTGTGCATGGTGCCCTGTGGAGTTGTACAGGACAGCAATTCAGAGGTGACCTTGCAGCTAGAACCAGATTCCTGTCTCAGGTCAGCTGCTTGTGAATATGCATCACTGACACAAAGCCTCCTTCATACCAGAGGCAATGGGGTCACTGCCACCACCTTCAAAGCTGATGACTTTCTCTTCAAGTCTGAATGAATTGAAGTTTGGCTCAAAAGAAGGCAGAAGTATCTTGGGTTCTCAAGAACATGGAGGGCCAGGCACGGTGGCTCAAGCCTGTAATCCCAGTACTTTGGGAGGCCAAGGTGGGTGGATCACTAGGTCAAGAGATCGAGACCATGCTTGTCAACATGGTGAAACCCGGTCTCTACTAAAAATACAAAAAATTAGCTGGGCATGGTGGCATGTGCCTGTAATCCCAGCTACTCAGGAGGCTGAGGCAGGAGAATTGCCTGAACCCAGGAGGCGGAGGTTGTGGTGAGCCGAGATCACGCCATTGCACTCCAGCCTGGGTAACAAAGGCGAAACTCTGTTTCAAAAAAAAAAAAAGAAATGAACAAAAAAATACAAATTTGGATATTTTATTGGTATAAAAAATCTTTAGGGCTTTATTCCTTTTTTTTTTTTTTGAGACAGAGTCTTGCTTCATCACCCAGGCTGGAGTGTAGTGGAGTGATCTTGGCTCACTGCAACCTCCGCCTCCTGGGTTCAAGCAATTCTCCTATCTCAGCCTCCCGAGTAGCTGGGACTACAGGCACCTGCCAACATGCCCAGCATAATTTTTGTATTTTTAGTAGAGACAGAGGGTTTCACCTTGTTGGTCAGGCTGGTCTCGAACTCCTAACCTCAGGTGATCCACACACCTCGGCCTCCCAAGGTGCTGGGATTACAGGTGTGAGCCACCGTGCCTGGCATTTTTTTTCTTTTGGAGGCAGAGTCTCACTCCATTGTGCAGGCTGGAGTGCAGCATCATTTGTGCACCGTACCCTAGGCTGGGCACGGTGGCTGATGACTGTAATCCCAGCACTTTGGGAGGCCGAGGCGAGTGGATCACCTGAGGTCAGGATCACCTGAGGACAGAGTTTTGTCATGTTGTCCAGGAGACCAGCCAGATGGTGAAACCCTGTCTCTATTAAAAATACAAAAATTAGCTGAGCCTCTTGGCAGGTGCCAGTAGTCCTAGCTACTCGGGAGGCTGAGGCAGAAGAATCACTTGAACCCAGGAGGCAGAGGTTGCAGTGAGCCAAGATTGCGCCAATGTACTCCAGCCTGGGTGACAGAGCAGGACTCCATCTCAAAAAAAAAGAAAAGAAAAGAGAAAAAAGAATACACACACACACACACACACACACACACACACATGCATACATGCATACATATATGTATATTTTAATGAAGGCATTTGAATTTGGCATCTATTTCCCAATATTAAGGAGAAGAGGATGGGCATGGTGGCTCATGCCTATAGTCCCAGCGCTTCGGGAGGCCCAGCAGGGGGATCACTTGAACTCAGGAGTTTGAGACCAGCATAGCCAACAAGATAAAAATGCATCTCTACTAAAAATACAAAAATTAGCCAGGCATGGTGGTGTGTGCCTGTAGTCCAAGCTACTCAGGAGGTTGAGGCATGAGAATCAATTGCAGATGCTGTAGTGAGCCGAGATCATGCCACTGCACTCCAGCCTGGCTGACAGAGCGAGACTCCATCTCAAAAAAAAAGGGAGAAAAAATAGGAAGAGCTTAATTCTCAGGTGGCATCAAAACATCTGTCTATCAGATTTTATGGTCGCTGGAGAGGAATTTTTCCTGATGGCCTGGAGCCAATACTGACAAAAATAATTGGCAGGGTGGGCCAGGCATGGTGGCTCATGCCTGTAATCCCAGCACTTTGGAAGGCAGAGGTGGGTGGATCACGAGGTTAGGAGATCAAGACCATCCTGGACAACATGGTGAAACTCCATTTCTAAAAATAATAATAATAATAATTGGCAGGGTGATCATTAAAACAAGATCTCACATTAATGTGTTCCCCTGCCCATGTCCAAGGCAGAATTTTCATATTGGCTGAAGCAATGCTATGCACATAGTAGATGCTGCGTAACTGTTTGATGCAAGCTGGCAGAAGAGAATGTATAAAGTTACTGAGGAATAAAAAACAGGGGGGACCACTTCGGAAATGCAATCACAGTGTTTGAGGTACAGGAGAGGAGTGTATTTGCAACCCAGGAAATATCCAACCCCAGGAAACAGATGCTGGTGTCTGTTGGTGAAAACATCTTTTTCATAGAAAACCCTAGGGTTTTATTTTTACCTTGGTAACTATCAAAATTTTTAATCGATCTCAGGAATTTATCTCCAAAATGACATTCTGAGTGAATGCCTCCATTCAGGGCAAGCTGGGTTTTTCAGTAATTGCCTCTGATGTCTGTTCTTAGGTCTTACTCCCTGCCCTAACCCCTGTCGCTGTCAATTACCCTGGGAGGCTGCTCGCAACAGTGGAGACTATTGCCTCAGTGACAGCCGCCTGGGCCCTCAGTATGAGTGGTGCCAAGTGGCTGCAGCCTGTGCTGAGGGCTACGCTGAGAGCTAAGAGAACTTTCAAGGCATTGCTCTCCCCAAAATCTATAATTTTTCTTTCTACTGTGTATGAGCACTGACCCACAGTTTTAGGTGGCATTTCAATCTCAGATCTCAGCCAGATCCCCAAGCTGCCTGTGATGTAGAGTGATTCTTTTTTTTTTGAGACAGAATTTTATTCTTGTTGCCTAGGCCAGAGTGCAATGGTGCGATCTTGGCTCACTGCAATCTCTACCTCCTGGGTTCAAGTGATTCTCCTACCTCAGCCTCCTGAGTAGCTGGGATTTCAG